TGTGGTTTTTCTTGATTTCAGTAAGGCATTTGATACTGTCTCCCACAGCATTCTCATAGATAAGCTAAGGAAGTGTGGGCTTGATGATCAGGTAGTGAGGTGGATCAAGAGCTGGTTGGAAGGAAGAAGGCAGAGAGTTGTGGTCAATGGTGCAGAATCTAGCTGGAGGTCTGTGACTAGTGGAGTGCCTCAGGGGTCGGTGCTGGGACCAGTGCTGTTTAATATTTTCATCAACGACCTGGATGAGGGAACCGAGTGTACTCTCAGCAAGTTCGCTGATGACACTAAACTGGGAGGAATGGCTGACACACCAGAAGGCTGTGCTGCCATTCAGTGAGACCTGGACAGGCTGGAGAGTTGGGCGGGGAGAAATTTGATGAAATTCAACAAGGGCAAGTGTAGAGTCTTGCATCTGGGGAAGAACAACCCCATGTACCAGTACAGGTTGGGGACTGACCTGCTGGAAAGTAGCGAAGGGGAAAGGGACCTGGGGGTCCTGGTGGATAGGAGGATGAACATGAGCCAGCAATGTGCCCTTGTGGCCAAGAAGGCAAATGGCATCCTGGGGTGCATTAGAAAGGGTGTGGTTAGTAGGTCAAGAGAGGTTCTCCTCCCCCTCTATTCTGCCTTGGTTAGGCCACATCTGGAATACTACATTCAGTTCTGGGCCCCTCAGTTCGAGAACAGGGAATTGCTTGAAAGAGTCCAGCACAGAGCCACAAATATGATTAAGGGAGTGGAACACCTCCCTTATGAGGAGAGGCTGAAGGAGCTGGGTCTCTTCAGCTTGGAGGAGACTGAAGGGTGTCCTCATCAGTGTTTACAAATATGTAACGGGTGGGTGTCAGGATGATGGAGCTAGCCTTTTTTCAGTGATATCCAGTGATAGGACAAGGGGCAATGGGTGTAAACTGGAGCATAGAAGGTTCCACGTTAACATCAGGAAGAACTTCTTTACTGTGAGAGTGACAGAGCACTGGAACAGGTTGCCCAGGGGTGTTGTAGAGTCTCCCACATTGGAGATATTCAAGGCCCTCCTGGACAAGTTCCTGTGTGATGTACTCTAGGTTACCCTGCTCTTGCAGGCGGGTTGGACTAGATGATCTCTTGAGGTCCCTTCCAACCCTTGGGATTCTGTGATTCTGAAAGTAATATCAAATGATGCTTTTACAGATATTAAAAGAATAACAGCTTCAGTTCAGACTTCTCAGTTTCTTTGACTTTAATTACAGTTCTTGACAACATGAGTTGCAGATGAGTAACACGCACATAGAAGCACTCACAGACAAGAAGACATGCCCTGAAGGGAAAACAACAACAGGTTTTCCCAGACTGAGCAGAATCAATTGCAAATACCAAGCAAAACTGCTTACAACCAAGTATTTAATATAACTCCCAATAGGAATGTATTTCCATTAAATGCAGGAGGCCATAACAGCCTTTAGGAAGAGATCAAACTGAGTGAGGAAAGTTAAAAGCTGCCTTATATTTTTAAACTCTGAAATATTTCTTCCACTCATACTATAATTACTCTTACTATGATTATTTATGAAACTCACAGGAGCAAAAAAAGAATATGTCTGTTCTCACATCACATCATTCATCTTAAATAACTGATAAGCAGCTACATCAAAAAAAGGGCTTGTTTTGTATAATATATTCAAGACATTGATATGGAGTCTAAGGAAAAACCTATCCAATATTAGAAAAATTAACCCTAACCTCTTACTGTTAAATATTCTCAAACATTTTCTTTTAACATCACTTCTTTCTAATTCTGACAAATACATCATCAAAAATACTTTGTGAACTAGGTTACCAGGTAGGTAATAGTATCACCAGAAAAAATTAGACAAAACATACCAGTGATTTGTCCTAAATCTCATCAAAGACCAAATCAGAACTCTATGAAATCGGATTACAGCTTCAATATCTTATCCAAAACACTGCGGAAACATTTTGATCCTTTTTTATACCTACAACTAGATTCAGCATTCCCATTGTCAAAAAATTACTCATTCTCAGATGGGATATTACATATTTCATCATTCCTTAGCTATGACAGATAACGAACAGAAAAGATTTTTCCATTCATCCATCAAGCTGATCTGCAGCAGCAAAAGGACATCTTTGGGTCAGAGGCGTGCCTGTGTTAAGGTCTCAAACTTTCATGAAATGTGTCAGCTTGACATTTTTACATGGCCTTTTCAAGCTGTTGTTTCAATTTCTTAAAATAGATCAATTTCTACCTTCTGTAGGTATAGCAGTAGTATCCTATGATGTTTCTGCACAATTGGTTCTCCTCAGCTTTTCATAGTCTTGCCCTGCTCAAACTTTATAAATAGCAGCCATTGGTACCTTAGTGGTGCCTACCCGTTCTCCATCATCTGTCCATCTTTTTTAAGCAAGGCAGCAAGCACTTTGGTGGGGTTTTTTTTCCAATAAATCTGTGATGTCACACTGAACATGGACCCTTTTTTTAACTTGATTTCTAGTGCCTGGGTGCAAGTGATTCAACCAGTGACTTGAACTGCATTCATAAAGTTTTCTTATGGTGTTAGGATTAAATTTACATTCCTTAAAAAAAATATTTTGGAATATAAAAGTCTTCATTTACTGCCTCTTTGCATTTCCATGCATTCATTTAGTTAATCTTAGTTGCAATCCTTAGAACGTTTCGAAGATTTCCTTCCTTTTTGAATGTATATACATTTTTTGTATGTTTTCAGTTAGGTATGCTCTTTCTACTTGTGTTCACAGTTTAGGTGAGTAATGTGTTCTAGAGTACGTTCACAAATCATTCTTATCATTTTTTGCTCTTCTCTTATTTTTCTCTTCATCAACTACAGATATCACAATAAGCAGGTCAAAGCAAGACTTCAGATTTGGGCAGTGCTAGCCCCAAAATACTATCTGTGGTATTATCTGCCATCTAATCTATTGAACCATTTATATCACATTATCATGATGGAACTACCATATTTCTCTGTATTTCTCATCTTGTGTTGCTGCTGAAGACTACTCTTGGCCATATTCAGTCTTCTAAGATTTAATTGTGCTACTTCTGTATGCTTCTGTTCCAATAAACAACAATTTGTTTCTTTTTGGAGATCTTAGAACGGCAGCTACAAGATTAATATTTCTCATATTTAAGGATATATTCTCTAAACATCCTTTTCTATCAGAATGATGAATCTTGCTTAGGTTTCATAAAGCCTGGTGGTCACAGGAATTCAAAATATATTCCTACTTTATTTGGCAAAAACAACTGTGGTGCAATAGTCAAGTCATAGGTTACCTACGTTATGAATTAACTGAATTCTGCCTGGTATTTTTTACCAGTAAAGCCTCTAAAAGCTGAATTTTTCTTTTCTCCTTGTCATGCTAGTAGGCAGATATGTTAATAAATAGATGCAATACAAGGTACCAGAGGTGTTTTTCCTCTTCTCTGTCTTCACACATGCAAATAGCTTGAAATCAAGATGATGTAATGAGAATTAAGACAGATATGTTTAATTCAATTACCAACTGAAATTCACAGCACTATCATCACTTTGCGTTACTCAGATGCAGCCTAGTTTTGCATTGTGTTCCTGAAGTTATATATCATCTCTAACAGTCACAATAGCTCTTCATTTAGTCAACTGAATGAGACTAATTGTTGAGTTTTTTAAATCCACAAATACACCGTTTTAAAGTAGCATCTTCAGATAGATAGTGCAGGTTTAGATCGTGATGAAAGGTTTGAAGAGTAAGAAATAAAATACTTGACCTCTGCTGTTTAGGTGAAGTGACTACTACTAGATATGAGTCACACTGTTTTTTTTCAATAGAAGGAAAGGAGAGAAAAAACAAAAAGCACACAAACAGAGCAGAGCATACACATTAATCATTACTAAGGCTGAAAAAATAATCATGATTAGATTACAATTTACATGATCCTTGTAACAACAAAAAGCCTATGGGAAAACATCAGTATTAACTCAGTGTGCTTATAATACATGCTCTTAAAAGAGATTTTAAGGAGCGTTCATTTTTCCTCTTCTAAAAGGCAGGATCTTGTGCTAGCACTCTTTACAGGCACTGACTAGTCCCGCATTCTCTGAGCAGTTTTATTTAATGGAGTTAAGTTCAGCAACATATACTATTTTTTTCAATTTCAGTGTGCAGCTAGGTTATTAAGAAAATCCCAGTGGATAATATAAGCAATTATGTTTACTCTTGAACCTGCTTTCCCACAATTTGGATGATAAAAATTCCATTTACAGTAAATTAGAATGAATATCCCATTTTAAGCCTTCCTCTTGGGAGGTTGCTTAAAAAAAGATGTGCTTCATCCTGTAAGGTTGTCATTGTCTAAAAATGTACAGTCTTTAAAAACATCACCCCTTTGCAATTCTGTTGATATTTTCTGGAACTTTAAAGTGTGCTCTGTAAATAAACGTATGCCCAGATTTTTGATACTTCCCTCACTTGTTCCTTCAGCACAGTTTGTCAGCTCTAATTTTTAATGTGTGAAAAACCTGACCTCCTTCATGCAGAGGTGTAGGTGGCCTACCCTCCAGCTTACTCTATTCAAGGGTCAGCCCAGAGGCCGGGATCATGTAATGTTTATTCAGCACAAGTGCACACAAGCGAAATTCCAGTTATAGTCACTGGAATTCAGCTGCTTGCGTTAGTGTTGGTGGTTTTGTGCAGTTCAGCTGTTCAAAACCACACACAAAATAATGCTACTTGGAAGCTTATTATCACCAAATTCATGCCTGGTCTGATGTCAATCAATTTAATGGGGATAGAGCTTTCTATCCTCTGATTTTCATCAAAAGGTGCCAAAATTTATCCCCTTTCCTGATCAGCAAATCCTGTTAGGCCCACATTTAACCCGTGCTATGGGAGCAAGTGAGAGGAACCACCAGACAGCGGGGTTACTCATCGTGGAAGAGTCCCTGTTTCCTTGACCAAGCATAGCTCCTTCAGCACACGTTTTCCTCTCTCCTCACCTCTACGCTACGGCGCAGTATTTTCTCTTGCTCTCTCTCTCACTATCTCTTTTCTGTATCTCTCGGAAATCAGACTGGAGTTCAGAGCACTTTCACTACCTTTTATGAGGTAGAGTGTGATGTCATAGATGGGGGCAGGGCTAGTCAACTTTCTACCCACCCACCCACCTGTGCTGAGGGAGCTACGCTTGAGACCGGAAGCAGTGATTCCTCAACGGTGAGTAACCTCCTGTCTCATCTATATCTTTTAATTCTATAGATCTGGGGGTGGAGGGGAAAAAAACATGAGAATGGGGATTTTTTTACTTAGTCTGGTTGGTTTTTTGTTTTCATTAACCACAGGGCTCACAGAATGAATTGCATGCATCTGACCTGCAGAAAATAATTTCCTTCCTGTTCTGAACTCCTAGAGTTATTGACATCCATAAAGCAATGATCATGTTTCTTTGCAGAGGTGGCCTGTTTACTGCTGGTTAAGCTGATCCTTCAGTGTTTAACTTGCATGGTGAAAAGGCAGACTCTGGTCCCCTTGAATACAATTGCTAAAATCCCCCTTATTTAATTACAGTAGTGCTGGGCCATAATTTTTCTAAAGAACTTTGGAATTAAAGATAGATGTTGTTGTTTGTTTATTTATCATTATTAACTGTGGGTTATGCCTGTTTATACAGAGTGGGACATTTATTTTCTCTGTGCTCTCTTACTGTTTTTATTTGCTTTATCCAGAATGTTTATGAAGCTATGTATTTGCAACAGGCCAATTATAAGACCTATTTTATAGGTGAAATAAAATTCAAAAGTAAATTGAGAAAGATGTAAAATTAAGTAAGAAAACCCCAGGAGATGTAACTGAGGTTTAACCTTTGATATTATAAATCAAAGCATTTGATTTTTACTGTAGTAAAAGCTTGAGATGGGCAGGGATACTGCTAACCAAATTGCTTGGTGTTTTTCTTGTGTCAGTACCTAAACATTACTATTTTACTTTAAAGCACTGTTCCTGTAACCTATTTCCCTTGTCCCCAAGTATTACTGCTTCGCTGTTTTAATATCCCTCAGCATTTTAAAAAAGACAAGATGGACTACGAAGATCTTCTTTTCTGCTTTCTGGCTCTTGGGTATCTATTAAAGCTGTCAAGATGTCAAAGCTCTCATACTAAAGGGCAGAAGAAAGATCATATGAAGATTTTGGCCCTTAGGAATATCACAAATCTTGCTGTTCTTATTCATTTCAAGCTCTTTACCAGCTCCATGTGGGGTCTTGTCACATCTTAGTGAAAGGCACTAAAAGGCAGGAATGCATACCCTATAAATGAAAGACAGAGAGAGTGCAATCACAGCCTTTTCAGCAGAGGTGGTCCATAGCCTGATTGATGAAGTACTTCTATTTTCAGGTAACTAGGAGCCTTTGAGGAATTGGGTATAGGATGCGGACCATTCCATCTTCTAGTCAGCGGCACGGATTGGGGATTGGTCAGTAGTGATGGATAGATATTCCTCCCTGGTGACTTAGTGATGCTCTTTGTATCAATGCATAGGAAATATGAATGAAATTCTGGGGAAAGGAAAGTCTTGTTTACAAAGCTATCAAAACTTTCACTAGTGACTGTTTCCCTTCCTGTTACAGAGAAAAATAAGGACAAAGAATATAAAAATTGGCTTCCTGAGTGGTGGCAGCCTTTATACCTTTGAATAATGTGTGCAAAGGGTTTTATTACTACTGCTTATTCCTTTAGCGAATCAAACTTTGAAATGTCCAAATATTTATTTGCAAAGCCAAGAACTTGTCTAGCAAATTTAGCTTTCCTAGCAAACTAATAGGAAATGAAAAGCAAGTTTAGTCAGTCTCTAATGTTTCACTGGAAAAACTTTATCGGAATTGCTGTTGCTTAAGACAGTTTGAGGTATGTTCTTTCCAGAGGCAAATGCTTTGAGGTAAAATTTAATTTAGATCCAAAACATATCTTTTGCTGATGAGTTTACAAAATTGTCTTTGCACATAATTATTTTTGCATAATGCAGGAGGCTGTAATTTTTGCACAGAATTAGTAAAACATAAGGACCAACTTTACAGTGCCCCTAATCTCACTTCAATGATATGAAAGCAATTTGGTGGCATGCAGAGGGAAACTCTATTTAAAAGTGTTGGGAACAGGAAACCAGAATTGGTATCATTCAGTAATTATGGTGAATTAGAGACAGCGATCAGCACTGAAGGGGTATTGTGGAACAGAGATGTCAGTGGATTACTTCAAATCCAGATAAATTTGTCTCTAAGTATATCTTGTAAGATGAGAAAATTAGCAGTTGGCTGACTCAGGTGTAGGGGAAAGTTTCTGAGGGAATGATATTCAAAATGACATTAACCATTGTGAGGATTAGCCCGGAATATACCTGTGCCAAATCTAATAGCAAATTTTAGTCCATGCAATCCCAGGATGTGAGTTTACCTGAGTAACTTTACGCAGGAGAATAAATAGCCTAATTTTACATTTACTGAGCTAATTCCCCTGTTAAATTACTTTACAGGCAGCTATGATTAAAACATGCAGAGATTCCTGTATTTTACTATTTTAGCTTAATTATATATTCAGTCAGTTGCAATGTTTGCTTTAGCTGTATATTATTTACATGTGCATAAATTAAAATATAATAAAGCCTAGATTTCAGCTGATTTTATTAGGTGTGCAATATGAAAACTATTAAAGCAAATATCTGAGCAACTTCTCCCAATATTTAAACAAGTTAAATCTTCATAAGTGCTTTATAAACAGAAAGTTACTTTATGATATCGCATACTTAAAAACTGCATTGTGTTACGTTTTCAAGCACATTGCGTATTATTGACTCAAAATGAAACCAGTAACTAAGATATTTATACCTATATATTTAAGGAGGGCAGCATTTAAATTGCAGGTTTGTTCCTCATTCAGACTAGCAAGGTGTGAGCAATACTTTCATGGTGTAAGATCATATATAGGGATCTAACATTTTTTCAGTGTTATTAAGATGGCTATGTAAAATTCCCAAATTTTCTGTATTTGCCAGGTTGATTTCTCTTACAAGTTGAATTAAAACTTTGTGGGTTGGTTCTTACCTTCTTTTTCTATATGAAAAGTGAGGGAGAGCTGTGAAATGCACCATCTGTTTGCAAACGGTGTCAGCTGGCAGATAGATGCTTATCACCCTGCCCTCTCCTGCTGCAGTTTTAGGCTGGTATAACACCATTGACTCAAAATGAATTACTTTTGATTTAATCTTACTTAAGCAAAAGAAGTCACAATGATAGTGCACAGCAGTCTAGAGGACTCTTCCTGTTGATTTAAATTGCAATGCTTTTAAACTTTGACCTCAGCTCATTTGAATTGTCAACAAAAATGTTCAGTAGCACTTGTACGAAGTATAGTGGTTGGAGGAAACTAGGACTGCCTAAACATGCCGGACTTTCTGTTTCGGGGACAGTTGCATCTCAAAGACATTAAACATGATGCTTCTCAAACGTAATCCTTCGTATTTTTATCTGTCCAATCTGAGTGAATCAAAACAAACACAGTGGTGTACCCTTGTAAAACTGGAAAAAGAAGTAAAAATTATTACTTCTCTTCTGCAAATGGGAATACTGAGCCACACTCAAGGCCAAAGAAATCTATAGAATCATGATAAGTTTCAAGCACTTCATCCTCCTTTAAGGCTTAGATAATTTTCAAGACCAGCATTACTCTGTCTGCCATTCTATACTTCAATTTCCACTCCAGATGGCCAAAAAATAATTAACAAAATAAATAATAGTATAAAAGGCAAAAAAGTTCATTGTAGATCTATGATTTGTAAAATATAGAGCTGGAAAGAAATCTTGCAGTAACAGTGGGAACTTACCCTACTCAAGTTGTGCAAAAGATGAGTAGGCCTATGGTGTAATGAAAACTGAACATTTTATTATTCAGAAAGGTTTTACTTGAATTGTGAAGAGATTTTGGCTACTCATTCATCTAGCCAAGTGTAAACACCTGCATCTCAGATGTTCACTACAGGATTCCTTTATAATTAGAAGAGAAAAATCGCCATTACTAGAGAGCAGATACTCTTGTTTCAGCCACACACTGATGACTGATTAGATTAGTAACATCTTAAAACTATTACAGAGACATGGATGGGCAGGTGAATTAAACCATGAATCCACACAAGCACGGAATAAGAAGGCTTAGCCTTGGGGGTCTATTAAGGGTGTGCATTCATATGGAAGAGATGTAAACTTTCTGTGAACTTAGCTGGAGAAAGGAAGCTGCCTGATTCATTCTGGACAGAAATATTCAAATTGTTTTCTAAGGAGCATTTATCTATATAAAGTAGCTGTCTTGAAGCCCCATATTGTTAGCTACTGTAGGCTGGAGAGATTGTTTTGTAGTGTGTGGGTTTCCCCCATATGGCATTTATGGGGATCAAAAGAGAAGAATTAAGCAAAACCAATTAAAAAATAATCAGTAAGCTTGAATTCTTGACCTACTGGGTCAGATCCAAGGACAATTTTTTTGGAAGATGTTGAGTATCTCTGCCCAGATTCACTGTACTGTCTTTAGGATTCTGATGCAATTTAGGATCTCCAAGTATAATTAAAAAGGTGAGGTACTCCATAAAAATTGAACCTGTGAAAGATCTCAAGTGCTCCACGGCTCCTGGTCATCTTCACCAAGTACAGAAGGAGCCTGGAATGCCTTGGTCCAGCACCTGGAATTAGGCAGGATGTGTGCGGGATAGGACTTAATTTATAGAAATGGAAACTCTGAAAACCTCACTTAGGTCACTGCCTCAATGGTTTTTATGAGTATCCCTCATAAAAGCAGCCCTTATTTATCTTGCCTGCATTCCTAGAGAAATTTTCAATTACAGACCTCTGAAAAAGTGCTTCTGGGGGTTCCATTGCCATCAGCTATGAAAAGTTTTTGGATTCTGACTAATATTAAAAGATACTCAGTCACAATTTTTAACTGATGCCAAGTAAGCACAGACACATCTATAGATAATCATGACTAATGAACAATATTAAAGTTAATAGCTCTGTAAGAAAAGAGTCAGTTCAAATGGTTTTCCATTTCTCCATTCTCCTAA